GGGGTTCAGTGGCTGGGCTGAGCCTGCCTCCCCCTCCACCCGAGGCTCCTGTGCTGCAGGGTGTTGTCCTTCCTGCGGTAAGGAACCCACGAAAGCAAGAGCGAACCTGGGTTTGCAGGATGGTCATGTGGGGTCCAGGCTTTAGCTGCTCTGGAAGCTGAGCTAGTGATGATAAAGTTATCCCTGTCTGAAGTTAGCCTTTCCTCTGTGGAAGCATGAATCTGAGGCTCAGCATTAAGGACCTAAAGGTAAAAAAGCAGCCTGTTACATGAATTAAGTCTATCCCCTTTCTCTGTTTCAGGGCACAGCACATCCCCAAGCAAGGGTAAAAATATCTTTTGCACTCACCTTCCTGGGAACTTGAACTAAGCTGATTACTTCACTGGACTAACCTTCAGCCTGTACCAGGTGCAGAATGGTGAGAAACACCAGAATCTCTCTGGTCACAGACTTATTCTCTTTCTCTGTTGCTGGGCTCTGGAAGCAGGATTTGTTCTGCTGTGTCAGATGATACCCTCCTAGGCCCTGGAGCTACTGGGGTAGATTTAAAAGCCCAGTGGCTTGATTAATGTAATTAAGCCAATCAAGACTGTAGCTTTGTTGCAGCTGCCACCTGAGTGTGCAGCCCTCTGCTATCACAGAGCACGAGTTGAAAGGCAGCACCGAATGAATGGGAATTTTAACGTAGCTGGTGCCCAGTAGAGCACCTGGTTGTCAGCGTGGTCAAAGATGAGCAAAAGTAGATGGGATTAGAGGCAGGAGGGATTGGATGACGCTCCATTATGGAGACACTTGACACAGCTCATCTCAGAAGCATGCTTGTCATGGAAGTAGACCTAGTGAAAGAATAATTGGTCTGTGCGTGCACCTAGAGATGTACTGGGACTTTCTAAACTTGCATCAGGTTGCTGGAGCTGGGGAGGTGCAGCTCCCATACACCAAATGGTGATCCTAGAAAGGACACACACTGAGGAACCCTCCTTTTGGGATATGTGTCTGTCTTTAAGTCTGCTCAAATGCATTTCTCAAAATAAATCCTAGATAACACATCCTAGATGAGTGAATTATCCTTGGCTGTAAGGAGGGTTTTGCGTTAAGATGCTTCCATATGATGATGCCGAGGGATGTTGTCAGCTTGAAACCGCTGAAAAGGATCTAAACCACCAAAGTCTCAAAGCTGATGTTTTTTTCCTAAGTAAGGATTTAAATAGTGTCCACCTCCCTCTCTGCGAGAGACAGCTCACTTGCAAAGGTGCTCCTTTGTTTCTGAGGGACACACTTCTGCTGTGCCAAGCGTATGAGACAAAAATTACCTCTGTCTGAGAAAGGAAACCTTCCTTTCTTTAATTCTTGCTCTGTGGCTCAGTGCTGGTTTTTTTTCTTTTTTTTTTTTTTTTTTTTGGTCAGGGGTTGGATAAACTTTTCGTGAAGGACTGCTATAATAGTATTTAATGTAACTCGCAGTTAGGAAGGAAACATCCTGCAAATTCCCAGGATTGTATTTTCTCCCATAGACAGCAGGTAGCTGCTAAGTTAGCCTTCAGGCTGATGAGAGAATCCTGGAGTATTGTGTGCTGCTCACTTTAAATCTGTCATATGCCAGATCTCTAGGCAGCCTGACTCATCTGTTGCTGACCAGAGTACCTTATCTTTGAACGCTTCCCAGGAAAAATCCACTGACATATCTGTCTTGACTGTATTTAATTCCGTAGAACTTGAGGAATTTAATTGGCAAAGGGCGGGGAGAAACTGAGCCAGTGATGTGCTGTTATCCCTGTCTGACAGCTCAGCTGTGAAGGAGAAACAACCATGTACTGAGGCTTAATAGATTTCTCCTTAGTGTGCCTCTTACGCTTGACAGAGACTAAAATGACTTCAGTGGGACCAGTAGGGCAAAAGTAGGTGTCCCCTTTCCTCCTGCAGTTGCAATGTGATTTATAGCAGAAACAGTCCCATCTGCACAGGCTCTGTTCAGCAGCCTGCCCTCATGAGCCCAGATGTGGCAAGACTCTGTGCAGGCAGTACAAGCACTGACTGGTCTTGTCACAGTGCAGTTTAGTTCTAGGTCCTTGGAGAGCTGTTTTTCGTTGCTTCCTCAACATTCACAGTGACAGCTTGGAGGGCAGGTAGGAAAGGCATTTTTCCTCTCACCTGTTGTATAGTCACTGAATACACACTGCAACAGCACTGTGTCTCCTGGTGGCTGACAAGCGTATTCCACTAAGCAGCTCAACACTGCATTCATTTTACAGGATTTGTATTTGTTTGCTGAAGGTGAGTGACGTGCGCTGACCAGCTGAACCAGCAGATATGACAACAGTGGACCTTCTGGGGAAATCAAGGCTGGTATGTGAAGGGGGAGGAGATGACACTAAAGCAATCACATTTGTTGCTCTGTCTATGTGGATTTGTTCCAAGTAGGACAAGCCATTGAGAAGAGCATGTTGGGGCTCTTGACTTCCAGGAAACAAGGGAGGGGACAGAAAATGGAAGAGACAGCCTGGTGATAAATAAGAAAAGTAAAAGCTATCCATACTTGGAGAATAAAGAGGAACGGGAATTGGTTCCAACTTGTTAGGAAAGTGGTTTCAGTAGAGTTTTGTTGTGTCTCCTAACTCCAGAAGCACCAAAAGAAAGATTGCTCTGGAGGGCATCTCACAAATAGAGCCTGGCCACTGGTACTTCATTTGAAATGATGTAAATTGCCCACCTGTGAGCAGCTGCAGGCTCCTCCTTGCTCTTCAGCTGTATTATGGAGAAGTTCCTGCGAAGGCCAAAGAGGGTTTGGGTACTAGTGCCCTTGGCTTGGGAGGACCGAGTTCTTTGAATGCCAGAGTCCTGGCTCTAGTGAGGCATGGTGTGGGGAAGGGCAAACCCTTCGTGCTCAGTATGAGGTCTTCTACCAGCTGGTCACAGAATAAAGGCTGAGCTGCCACTCCCTCTCTTAAGCTTACTTTTCAGTCTTCTGAGACCTCTTGATGAAATAATGCAAATTAGTAGGAACTTTTCAACTGACTGTTGCCTCTGCTCTGACACTGTCTATTCCACTAGGGCCTGGTCTACAGCTGCCTGGAGGAAAGGGCTGTTCCCTGCTGTCTTCTGTTCCAGAATAAAATAAGTTATTGAAAAATCTCGGGAGTTGACGTTTTCTTGTTAAGGATATCTACTCAAACAGTTTTGAGCAGTTTCAGTTTGAAATGGTTACTGAAATTCAGGCACCTGTAAGTTTACCCTTCATAGCAAAGCCTGCTTTTCTTAAGGTATTTAAGAGTCTTCAGACTTCAGTGCCTTCAGGCTGCAAAGTAAAGAAATGCAATTCATGGTAACACTGTCACAAGGTGAGTTTACATGGGCCAAACCAAGTATGACTAAGCTTTAGGACTGATGAAAGAAATGTTTCTTATGGGCTGCCTGGAAGCTCAGATAAGGGAAAAGTAGGAGGCAGTAGTACAACCATCAGCTTCCTTATCTGTTAAGTTGATTAAAAATGGGAGCACTTAACTTCAGTGCTAGGCTGTACCATTGGCTGGAAAACCTCCCTATTTAAAATAGGGAGGGTCTGTGAGCAGTGTGCAGTGAAACACCTCTGCAGGTAATGAGTTGGACTGGATTCCTGGCGGGCTGCTATACAATGACAACAACCATTTTAAAAGCAGATTTTGCTGCAGACATCATGGGGCAGCTGACAAAGCCACCCATAGGGGCTGTGCTGACATTTGGCTGGAGCTGGTTTGGGAGGCTGTGGTGCTTTGTCAGGTGATGTGAGAATCAGGCTCGTTCTTGTCATGGAAGACGCTTTGTCTACTGAGCATGCTCGCGTATGAAAACAGGCCTAACAGGCTGCCTTGATGCCATTGTAAAATTTTTCTGACGTGAACAAAGGTTAATTTGAGACTCACCTGAGAACACAAAAGACGGTCTCCACGTTAGAGATTACATCTGAACAAGCTTTTTGACTAGCCTTCCCTAACACGCATTCAAAATAGCCGAATTCAGCCTGCTGCCTTAAAGATAGAGTGAGCTTAGGTGGGTGGGGGGGTGTTTTTGTTGAGGTTTCCTGGCTAATTGCCAGGTCCTCTTACTACCTCTGCAGCTATGTGTTTCTCCCCAGCTGACAACAACTAGCAGCCAAAGTGAGAAATGCTGTGCTCAAACCAGCTTAGGCAAGCTGTCACAGTGGCCCTCTGGCTTGGAACATTGGGCTCATTCATCAGCTGTGGCTAACTGCTGGGTGAGGGAGCCAGGCCTCCCTGCCTCTGGGAAGGGCTGCAGATTTAACCCAGCTCCCAACCTTCTCATCGCTGCCTTTCTGTGCCTGTTCCTGAGTCTAAGCCTCATGCTGTTGAGTGCTACAGCCTTTCCACTGGGGGGGAGGTCGGTGTCACCCCCTTCACCAAAACAACAGAAGAAAATAAAATGTTCATTCAACATTTATGCAATTATACAAAGTAGGAAAATGTTTCAGATTTTGTCCCCCCCAACCCCTGTGTAGTACCATCCCTCTAGCCAGCCACCAATTGCTGAAGTAGCATCCCCTGCGGGGCTTCCTAGTTTCACAGCATTGGCTTACAATGGTTAGCTGAGGGGTTCAAGACCGTCTCTTCCATTTTCCATCTGATTTTTTTTTTTTTTTAATGAGACTGATGATAGCTTAGACTTGTGCCATGAGCTGTTGGTTCCCTAACCCATCTGGTATGGGGAGGACTGCCTTGTTAAAGGAGGTGGAGGGCATCACATGATCCCAGTGCAAAAAAAGAGGGAGGGGGCAGTATGTTAACTCTCCTCTTATGGATGATCAAAGACCAGCCACATGCTCCAGTTGAGCTAGAGTAATCCTAGTCTTACCTGATGTATAGTTTCTTTTTAAGACCTTTCATTGCCTTGACCAAGGTGACAACATATAGAGAATGGGAAAAGAAAGCTGCAGACGCATTACATCCTGTGTCTGTCACAGGAGAGGGCAGCCAAGCCACTGCTATCTTCTGGTGATGGAGGCAAAGCAATCCTGCTGGAAAGATGTGTGCATCAATCCAGACCTTTGGGCGGTCAGCTTTATGCAGTCCAAGAGAGAGGTGTCCTCCAAACACACCACCGTTCTGCATAGTTGGACAATCTAGTCTAAGGATTCGGGCCCATTGTGATCCTGCCATGGTGAGGAGCGTTTGGGCTGCTGGTTCTTGGTCCTGGAGCGTGATGGAAATGTACAGGACCAGATGAGTGTTCTCCAGTCGGTGGCTTTACACTCATAGAAAACAGGCTGTAAATCTCCAGGGAGGGAAAGGGAAAAAAAAAGGGGGGGGGGGGGG